ACGAGGCGGCGCGGCGCGGCGGCGAGCTGTAGCGATGAGCTTTTTGCACGCGCTCCAGAACCCTGTTCGCACCATCTCTTTGACATTTAGCAAATTCCCCAAGAAATAAAAACAATTGTCACGTTTGCTTTCAAGGAATTTTCAGAGTTGACGAGAACGCGTTTGTACGTCCTCGGCGTGGATATTTTTTCTAGCGGCGCGCATCGTTTAAAAGTCCGAAGGCGAATAATTTATTCGTGTATCGCTCACTTTGTTATTTAAATGGGTTCTGTAAATCTGTAGCTATATGAAGTGGCATATGTGCAGTGTGTGCGGATATCGTCACGTTAGTGATGCGTTGTCAGGGGTGCACTAGGGGATATTGCAACAAAGACGACAAAAAAATAAAGCGCTTTAACGCTTTTATTGTCTCTGTAGGCGACAGTGTCGTACAATAGTTAAGTAGTGTGCGTTTGAACAAGTGGCTGGTGTGTATATGTGTAAGATTTGGTAGACGTTGCATGTGAGGGTGCGGATATATCACATACATTGTACTTAAAATATTTGTGAGCGTGTCGGGGGTTGTAATTTCGCTACCGACGCGGCGGGTGATGGGTCGGCCACGCCCATCAAATAATTATTTGTTTTTAAACGATTTGCACGTGGATTCATTCAGACTTAGTTGTTGTTGTTAGTTGACTTGATTTTTATTTTTTGGTAACAGGAGTTATCAAAACCAACCTTGACTTAGTTATATTAATAATAGTAATCAATATATGTAGAGAATCAATAGACAACATAAACAATAAACTTAGACAACTACAATCGTGGAGATGGATATATTTTAATATTATGACTTAAATTGAATCGTTTTATTCACAATGACGTTCTTTTATAGTGTTTAGATCTTTGTAATATAAATAAATGCGACTTCGATTTTTAAATCACTGGACAGAATCCCCTAAACATACACGCACACATAAACACAAATACGCATGAAATATTATACATAGATAAAACTTTTTATACAATTTATCAATCCCAAGCAGATGGTCCCTGGTTCACATAAACACCTTTTGAAATGCACCCAGCTATTATAGGGTTACAACATTATCATGTAGATAAAATGGCCGACGCTTAATTATTATTATTACATTATCCTAATACTCTTATAGAAAATGTTTAACATTATTTAATTCCTTTTTCAACATTTAAAGAAGAACTATAGACAACTTCGTGTGCTGTTTTCTTTATACCTATTAGGTATATGTATATAGGATTTAAAATCTATTCACTGCATATATTGTTATTTATTATAAATTGTTAAAAAAAGAAGATTTTAATTAAATTTGTCGTTCAGAAAGAATATTGAGATTGATTGAGTTATTGGCCGTAAAATGTAGAATACAAAAATTGTTATTACCTATAGTAATTGCAATAATGATTATAAATAATCCAAAGATTTTTTAATATTTCATAGTGTTTTTATAGAACTATAGTTATTTTTAAACTTTCGTGTTTAATATACATTATTTAAATTATTATATAGTTAAGACCCGGTTAATTTAAAAAAGAACTATGTCAAAAGGAATATTGAGACTGCTTGTTTAGTTGGCAATAAATCGTACATCACAATCATTCTAGATACCAACAGTACCTACCAGACAGGTGTATAATAAATAAATAATCCATAGAATATTTTAGGATCTCTTTTAATTTGTTTTTGATTATGAATAGCTTAAAGAAGTAGATTAAAAAGATGTGTCTGTGTTATTCAAAGCTAATATTAAGACCGCTTGTTTAGTTCGCAGTAAATCGCACAGTGCAATTATTCTATAATAGATACCTACTAATTCATAGAAATCTAGAATATTTTAAGATCTGTTTTAATTTGTTTTTAATTAAGAAGTTCTTAAAATGTATATAAAAAAGTTGTGTGTTGTTCAAAGGGAATATTGAGACTGCTTGTTTAGTTGGCAATAAACCGCGCGGCTGCACTCGACGTAGTCTCGCACAATGCCGGCCGCAGGGGCGCCGAGGGTCCCTTATTGTTTGCAAAATATTTTGAAAGCGTCATTTTATACGCCATATTAGCTAGCACTGCGTTTGATAGTCGGGGGACGTCTTCACCGGTCGAAATCATATCATCATTACCGCATTGTAGTTCACCCCGCGGTTCCACCCCAATGCTTGAATGCAGCGTTGAAGTGTTCACAAAGAAACTAATAAATACTCGTAGCTTATTTTAATAAATATTTTTTAGTTAATATACTGTACTACTGTTCTATATTACAATAATAGTACTAAAACATTGAAATTCTATCTTCTGTCAACTCAATTCATCACAATTCTCTATTATTTAGGCACTTAGTATTTTTTTTATTTTACCGTGTAAATTATTGTATATATAGGTATTATTATATGATATTTTTTATACTACTCGCATGTTGATATTTTCTATAAGGCGTAAACACTGACTTCAAAACTTATTTTGGCAATCCTACAGGGATAAAGTAAGATTATGAACCACACAAAGTTATTAATTCCAAACTCTTAAAAAATAGTCATAATTTATTCCTTATCCTTACTACTAAATCCGAAGTGTCAAAAATCTTCAAATGATCATTTAAGAATGTTTTAAGCGAGAATAAAGTAATCGCGTTTGTGGGCGGATGGCCGGCGGCAATATACCAGTAGGATTGTGTAGTTAGCGAAAGAACTAGTCCGGAACAGCGCTCCCAAAGACGAACTACGCGAACTTTCGCTCTTTAATTCATTTAAGAAAACGCAGTCTTGATAAAAAAAGAAGAATAAAGTTTTACGGAAAATAAAATTATGGGCCTAGAGGTATGTATGATCAGCCTGCCTTTCTTTGAATAGAGTCGGGAGAGAACAAACATGTTCTTAAGAAACCTGTGAACTAAATTGAGCGATCACAGATGCGAACTATTATATAGCAGCTCTGTTGTTTGGGACCACGCGGTGCACGCCCTGCCCCGGGGCGCATGCTCCAATTCATTTATTATCACCTTATATATGTGTTATCTATAATAATCGCAAACAAATTACCGTGATTTATGTGTTAATCCAATATTCATCGCTAATACTCTGTTACTAAAACAGAAAAATTGAAAAAAAAAATATCTATTCTGTTTATTTTCGTTACTAAATGATTGAACGGATTTTAATGAAATTTGACACGCTTGGAAATTATGTACAATAACAAGGAAGGACACTATGTTACATCTCAAAAAAAGCATACGAAGTATTAGGTAATTGTAACAACTTGTTCTGTTTATTTGTCTCTGCGTACTCATAATGTTGCAGTTAAATGATGTTTTATAAGGCCTACATGGATAATAATTATTATGAAAATATTTAATTAATTCAAACTATATTGATATGAGTTTATGTAATTACTCAATACTTAATTACTTATTAAAAACAAATGTAAATATTTTCACCATTTTTGGGTAATAAAAACTACGCACTAGAAAGACCACATAAATATATCTCATGTCTTTAATTTTAAAAAACATTATCCTACTTTATACTTTAGACATCCATAATCATCATGATTATGATGAAAAATTTTGGCATTATATAGAATCTTATGTAACATTATACGATATATTAAAATTTATAGCTAATAAATATTAATTTTATGAATGTGAATGCAACGATTCGAAATAGCTACTGATCTTTTAATACAAAGTATCAGTTTACGCCTCCCAATAAAAATATCAGGTTCACTCGTAACCTGGTCTCGCAAGTGATGATACTCGGTAGCTCTTCATGATATTACTATTAAGCTCATACTGAGTATGTCTATAAGAAGTCTTTAATCAGGTTTTTTAGTAGAAAGAAGTTTATATTAAAATTTCTTTATTATAAATTACAGTTATTTTAAAGTTTTTTTAAAGTATATAGCAATGTTGCATACATTGCTCTATATAAATATAGGTAATTTACATACTACTAAACTATATTGAAATAAAAAGTTTAATATATACTTTATAAAACTGCTGGAAAAAGTTAGTAATTTAATAAACATTAAATAGTAAAAGTGTACTAGTTCCGGTTAAAGTACAGTGCTATTAAAATATAATATATTTATGACATGCTTAATGCAATACGCAATTAATATGACTGTGGACTTCCAGATTCATAGAGCTGCTTTAGACATTGAAGTTAATTTATAGTCACCATAAAACAATTCTTCAAACTGCCCACAAAAAGGTGGTCTATTCAAAATGCCTTATGAGATAATAGAGGACGAAACAGGACAAAAGTCTCCACGCAACACTATACAGAAAAGGCAGTAAAAAAAATAAACCCATCTGCCCATACGGATTCTTGGACTATTTATTCCTTTAAAAATCGATATTTAAAGTTAAGTACCAATACTTTACCTTGTAACAATACGGCAGTGTGTGAGAGGGACGAGCGTACTAGGAACCGAGTGTTCGGAACTGGACATTTTAATTTATGACATTTTTTTTCTATCTAACATTACAGTTTGAGAAATGGTGCTCTGACTTGAAATGTTTTTGTTCATAGGTACCGAGAAATCGAGGAACGGACTTCACAAGTCGACAGAGAGCATTTATAGGACGCCCGTTAGCTCTGTTGTTTGTGTTCAGATCGCGTTTCCACGATCTCCATTGACAGTAGTCTGTACTATTTGTTATCATTGTGTCGATTCAGTTATTGTAAGGGCGTGCTCCGTGATATCGCAACATTGGACATTCTGTGGTCACATAGGCCGCACTGTAACCAGGATAGCGTAATTCAACCACTCACCATAAGGCGGAGCGTCAGCTTGTATGCCATTTCTATTACATAAAACAGTTGCTAAAGTGATTTGTCAAATCAATACTTGTATTTATGATTAAGCATGTGAACCACTACCTGTTTATGTATCCTTGGCATTGACATCAAAACATGACCAATCAATTCCACTATCCATCATATCAATTACTCAACATCATATGCATGATTAAGAATAAAGTAATACTTACCAGTATGTGTCCGCTTGTGTATCTTGAGGTTTTCTGATCGCGCGAACACTTTGCCACATCCAGGGAACGGACAGGGAAACGGCTTCTCACCGGTGTGCACGCGAATATGATTCACTAATTTGTATTTCGCTTTAAACGGCCGGCCGTTTCGTGAACATCCCTGCCAAAAGCACGCGTGCGTCGTACACTCTGGTCCGCCTACATGTTCTACAGTCAAATGCGTCACGATCTCGTGCATACTCGAGAATAGTTTGTTGCACATTTTCCGCGGTGGCGGTTGTTCCGGGTCGAGCCACTGACAGCGCATGTCACGCCGCGGTGGTGCTCGCACATATCGAAGGAACGCGTGTGGTGCGTGGGCGTGCGCGTGTGGGACGAGCGGAGGTGCACCGCCCTGATAGTGGACGTCGCCGCGCCAGTCCCAGCTCTGCTCCAGTGGCTGCTGAGGAAACAGCTCGCCGCAGCCTCCGTACTCTCGCAAGTATCCCGTTTGGTACGAGTGTAGGGGATACGGCTGATAGTGTGGCGGATGGTGCGGTGGAGGCGGATGCGGCGCGGCGACACGGTGCTGGCCGTCGACGCCACACCCCGGCTGCGGTGACATTTTCAACCCATAGGAGGCGAGGTGCGCGTGGTTGGTCTCGAGGAAGGCGTTCATGGCGGGGGTGGCCGACGCCGGCGCATAGCCCCATTCGCCCGCCACCATCCACGCGGCGGGCAACACCCGCTGCAAACGTCGCCACTGAACGCGTCGTCGTCGACGCTGACAGTCCCAAGGTCACCACCGAAGATTGTCACGTCGCCTTGCGATACTTCAGAGGGTTGCCATCACTCTTCAAGTTTGTGACGGGCCTGTTAAGAAATGAAGAAATAAATTTATTAACTGATCCTTTTTGTGCTAAAGAAAAAAAGTGCTATTACCGGTGTATTAAATACATTCTAACCGAAGCCGAGACAAATTCAAAATCGTTTTTCAAAAGAATAACGTACAGTCCGTGCACCCATAACCGGCGACGAATATTTTATTTTTAATAAAAAAGTGAAGCAGGTACTTTTGGACATTAAATTAAACTGTGGGTAAATTTATAGGACATTTTTATACGCCTGAGACAAAAATTTCGATTGTGTTCGTGTATATTTAATTTTAGTTTATTTGTTAGGTTGGCTCCAATCTCTTTTATGAGCGAGGTTTAGCATCGATAGTTTATTAAAATAGTTTTATGAATGATAAAACCTGTTCTACTGTGGTTAGCTTACGATGGCGACCACTTTATTACTTTGCAGCCCTTTATACTTAATAGGTTACTATTTTGGTGATACTGATTATACTTATTTGTGAAATACAAATAAGTATAATTTTTAGTTTACTTATTAATTTATGGTACTAGGCACAAGTCTACTACTTTTAATAACTTTAGTCCACATATCTCTAATTACTCTATCTAAATAAATATAACTTGAAGTTTTGTCCTTGTATAGAATTCTTAATTACTTAAGTAAATATAGTGCAATTCTAGTATTAATTAGTTATGGTATATTATACTCATAAGTGCTACAGTAAATGACGTATTAAAGAAAATAATCATAGTGTTTCATTTCCCAGTAATTAGGTATATCATACTTTAGAACATAATAATGTTGAACGAGTTATGGGAATTGGTATATTTTCACAGATATATAATATGTCAAAATACAAATTGAAAACAGGTAAACATAAATTATTTATAAAATAACTTTTTGAATTTTTGAAAAATATAACATTGCACTGAAATAAATGTCGAATTAATATCATGGCCTGATTATCATTGTTATATTAAAATTATAAAAACGATTTCATAATACCAATAGTAGTAGGTACTGTATATCTATAATAATATTACATACGAGACAAGGCTGTGTGAATTGTCTAGTTATAAACAATTTACACAATGTGTAGTCAGTCCCAACTGATGGAAATACTTAGATGTATTTTTCGTAAATATATACAGACCGACCGAGACCAATTCAAACATTCACACTCATGAATACAAATAATAATAATAATAATCTTTATTTGTCTCAAACAGAAACTTTTTACACAATACAACTATTGCCCATAGAATAATATAATTTAAAAACTAATGAATGAGACAAAACGGTCTATAACTCAGTGAGGGCAGTGATTCCACCCTCTCTGCTATTCTGTTATAGCCTTTATCAGTAAAATACAATGTGAGATCGACGACGACGATAGCATATTAAGTTTTAAACTACAACTAACAAAGTAAAAATGAAATTGCATCATGCGAGGAATTGAAATCGCGACCATTGGAAGTAGTATTATGCTAAATCGTTATACCACCGAAGCCGTCAAAATATAAATAATATATATAGTATATACTTACAAGTAATACGTAAATTATAGTTTGAACTAATTTATCGAATGTCGCCATAATTATTTTGCCATAGGTAACCAGAATATGCACAAAAAAACTTTTTTGACTATATTCAACGGAGCTTGCTAGCAGCAGAGATAAGATAATATTAAATACTACTTAGTAGTTAATTACAAGTAGTTTTCAATCTCTTAAATTTAATTTCCAATACACGGCTGGAGTCAGTTATAGGCCATCCTAATGTAGTCCTTGATATATAAAACACAACTAAAGTATGTTATACATAATGTTAGAGCCCATTATGTATAACAATCATTTTAGTACCTGTCGTAAATGGCATAACCAGAATATTATTTTAATATATATTACATATTAATTATTCGACATTAATTCAAGCTAATATGATGGTGATGACGATGATGTAATTCAACAGTAAACTATTTATATTGGTGCTGTTATTTATCAATGCAACAAAACATTTACATTGTATATATTGTCATTTTCCATAGTTGAGAATATAACTTAATCATACTGCATCTATTATTTCTGTATGTACATAGGCCTGTAATTTATCAACCTGTAAGTAGGGCTATACACCGACTTGACTTACTGAAAGGGTTATACACTAGGGATACGTGCATAAAAAGTAAAATATTAAGTAGTAATCACAACCTAGAACAATTCATACAGGGCCATCTAGTTACAAACTAAATAGATCTTGTATTATAGGTAGGTACTAAACTACCTACTTAACTACTAATTAAAATACTTAAATATTTTTTGTAAATATGTAAGTATATAGCTATATATTAACACTAAAAACAATCATTAATGTCACCTTTTTATCGTGGGTACGAGAAGTCGAACCCGCGACCATCGGTAGTAAGGTAGTGAGTGTGTTACCGCTACACTACCGATTCCATCTAGTAACCTACTTTGATGCAACCAACTTGTATATTTGGACGCAGAAATGCAGAAACAAAGCAACATCATAACAATAACTTCTTTATGGTTATCACATTTATAATGTATAATGTAACAAATGTTTTGTTAACTTCAATAGACATACAAATAAAGGCAATCTAATATGGGCATGAAAGTTTAAACCTCGTTCAATGTAAGTAACAAAATCAAAAATAATCTTAAAAAGAATCTAGTTAAGATTGATTTTTTAACTGTTTATCTACTTATTTTAGTCACACCCAATAAATACATCAGTACTGTCAATCAAAATAACTGTATATTTTTTGCTAACATATAATCGCGTTACTTGAAAATAATGTTGTTTATGTATTGTTTGAAACACTTGAAACAGGGTAGGCTGGGCACAACAGTCCCAATCTACCTGAGTCCGATAAACAATGTCGTTCTTTCAGATTTCCATCTAATCTTTACATTATCTGCGCGACTCCCCGCAGCGTGGCCGCTTCATCACAAAGCAACGGGTTGACAGATCTCTACGGACAGACATGGAGCAATGGGATTAAAAATCAAACAATTAAATCTTTAAATCAATTTCAATCTATTTTGATCTCTATTCCTTTTAAAATAACATTACACAATTGAGTTTTGAACGGTAAATGTAAGATGGTCACAATTTTGCAGCTGCCATACAAACGTTTTTCACAGTTTTAAGGAATTAGTCATAATCACATTAGTATTATTGAGATGTGCAATGCTTATCTGTTTAACGGGCGTATATTTATTACTATAAAGTCTTTAAAGTGGAAAAGTGGATGAAGTCTCAATTGCAAACAACTTGTCAAGCAAAAAATACCTATTAAGCGTTAAAGGTTTATATCTATGTATTGTAATTAACCTTCTTAATCCATTATAAATATCTTCGTAAATATATTTAAAATCTTGTTAGGTACTTTATATCTTATGTTTTTTGTAATATACTACTGGTGCAATAAATAATTAACAGATAAATTAATAAAATTTAGCTCATATCTCAATCTATATATACCTATAGTATATATGTATACCTTAAAATTTATTGTAACATATATACCAAAACAAATTACAAAAAAAACAATACACTGCACTTCTGTTAGAAGTGCAGTGTATTGTTTTTTTTACAAATAGCACAAATTTAATATTAGTGATATTAAAAAAAACGTTACAAATCGTCTTCACATTAGGCCTACTACTATTTACTACCTATTTACTTTACATTAACCTACTAGTTATATCTACAGATAATTATGTCTACTTCATGCCCGCTACCTATCCATAGCATATAAATGAAATATAAGGCTATTGATAACGTCCTGCGACAGCTGCAGGATCGTTAAAGGTGATTAAAAAATATGAGAAATGATTTTTTACTTGTCCACATTATTAATATTTAATTAACTTACCACAAGGACTACATATGAAAAATTAATTCGTTTACATATACAATAAAAATAAATTATATAGGTAGGTAATCATTCTTTATTATTCTTGTTTTTTCACCTACATCTAGAGATTAGAATTAAAGTCCATCACTATATTATTAGTCAATATTGAGAAAACGCTGAGAGGAAAATTTTCTAATTACAGAATTTTTGACCAGAAACAACTAGCAACTGATGTGTACTTACATACTTAAACTACTTACTATAAAAGTATAAAAAATGCGTCAAGTATAACATGTAGTATGTTTTTATTACATAGAGACTATTACTTAATAAATATTATATAAAGAATATTTAAATATTTACGTTTTTGGTAATAAAAATAAATATTGGCAGGAAAGGAAAACAATAATGATTCTACGAATGTATATAGAATGAATGACCATAATATTAATAGAAATATTAAGAACTTATAAGATACAATCTATTTACCGTCGCTGCCTATCTTTAGTGTTCCACATTATTGAAATATTAATTAAGTTATTATTTACCGGTTAGGCTATTAATTGAGTAAGTACAAATATTAAAATAAAGTTTCATTTAATAACTATGGAATAACTGAAATTTATGGTATCCATTCATACTAATATTAAGGCGAAACTTTTTATTTTTTATACGTTAGTTCGTAAAGAAGAAACTAAAAGAATACTAGAAATTATTTTCTACATTGTTTTTGCTACCTTTATTTAGGTGTAAACAATATGTCTATGTAGTAGACAGTGCTATATAGTAGATGCAGCTACAAGTTTCATTATTTATAGGTATATATTTATTTTATTTATAAACCTACATCTTTGTATCGAATAAAAATATATATTATAATGTATATAACGATGAAAATTGGTAGACGGTGTAAGCGTAAATTAAAACACCAATTATATTATATTGTTAAGTACGTATCCACCTAACACAACAGAAGAACCGCAACGCGTCACAAAATTTATAGAAATACATCTTTTATTTTTGTAATAAAATATTATATCATATTTTTATTAACATATATATTTTATATACAAATATCATCATTTATTATGCATAAATTGTATTAGCGACACGCTCCGGTTCGACGCAGGTGTATGTAGATGTGTAATATAGAATAGAATGTGTAATAAAATTATCTATATTAAAACAAAATAGCACATGTTACTTATTGAAAAAGAGACTATCCATATCTATCAAATAACTAGAAGAAAAATGAAAAGTAGTATAACTTATATATATAAGTAAAAAATACATAAAACTTATAGTATCTATTAAGAGTAGTCAAGCTAATATTTGTTATTCATGTTAAAATAGTTCTATTAGTTAACTTCTCCTTAACGCCTTAAGGACACGGTTAATTAGTTACTTCTGCATTTTAAAATCTCGTGTTACCGATTTCTCATGGAGAATGAGATGGAGGACCATTTATCCTTATTAGAATAGAAAATTATTTTCTCAAATACCTAGCCATATATATTTTTCAAATCTACCGCTTTTTCGGAAAGCTTTCTCATCACAACAAGAAGCAGCTAGAAACTTCCGTGTTGCTTTTTTAAATTATTTCTTGTAACTACAGATCTAAGTTGAAATTAATATATCCCAGCTACGTGATATTCACTATAAATATGATGAATACGCGGCAGATGCTAATGCTAAGCAGCGAATCGATAAAAATTCTTAGAAATTTATAAATATAGAAAAGGATCAGAGAGACCAACCAGCAGCCTAATTCCCTGTGGAGTCTTTAACATCTAGAGAGGTCATAATTCATTTCCTGTTTGTTATGATACAAAAATACAACGTATATTAATATATATAACTATTACATTTACGAGTATTATAAATAGAAAGAGCGAATATTATAACGAGAAAAGTAAACTACAGAATGGCTCTGTATCTATCGTTTAGAGAAATTCTGATGATGAATGAAAGTCACAATATTTCAGAGTGACATACAGATATTGTGTTAAAAATATGAAAAAAAGATAAATGCACCTGGACGAAGTCGGGTCTTAGGGTCCGGTGACTCTTTTTTTTCTAAAATTATGATCATCACATAACTGCTACGCGCAATAATACTCCAATAATATTGCATATTATTTATAAGTAGGTATATATTATTATTGGGACTTTATTGCGTTTAGACAGATATACTTAGTTTATAGACTCGCAACACAAATAATCTTATTTGTGTAGGTAAAATCTCAATCCATCAGAATGAAATAGTAAATGAATAGAGAAATTGGGAGATTGCAACAAGAAGCTTAGGTACCCACTTGTAATTTTAATAAGTATTAACTACTATAATTTATTATTGTAAATTAATAAACAAAAATATCTTACTTGCTGAAGTAGGGTAATCCACTGTTCAACCACCAACGGAGTAGAATCGTTACTAATCACTAATTAGTCGTATCTAAAAGCACAAGCAAGTATAAAACACTTCACTAAAACGTATAGTATAGGTACTCGTATGAAAAATATATTTCAGTATCCTCATAAAACTACAGATATTGTTATCGCGTCGATTGGCGCATCGTTATAATCATCTAGTTTCGTATTCACAGCCGAATTTTGAATTGTTGTCGCGCTTTATCGCCAACATAAGTTTTTTGGACAAATTGTCACGGTCCGATTTTTCCTCGCAACGATGAAAACCTTCGCGACGTGTGTCCACTGACTCCGCTGAGGATCTCAGCATGACTGCGGGCTCCCGCGTCGACGCCCCTCGACACAGCCGACATACTGCTTCTTAGAAAATATTTTGTACGAGCGGGCCCAAAGGTGCGAACGCAGCCTTGTGCGCCGGAGAAGGGCGGGACGCCGTCAACTTATTTATCCAATGGTACCGGATTCGATGCCGCAACCCTAATCGAATACTATCTCTTTCGCACTAATACATTTTGGCATATAACAATAGAAACAACAAATCTATTCTGATGAAGCAAGAGTATAAAGAAGAAAATTTCTTGGTGTTAGTGTGATAATGCGTTCGCTTTATCAGATTTACGTTGAAAGCTTGCCGTTAGCTTTAGAAGGCGCCTTCTATTGCTTTCCATTCTGGTAGATCGGTAGATAAACGAGTGCGAGAGAGACGACAGTTAGCCGGGAAATGTTCCGGCTAATGTATTTTCCTGTGGGAAGGAAAACACATGTCGTCGCTTTTAATTTAATACGCGTCACGCTGCGATCTCGTGTAGCGCCCATGCGTAGCTTATTTTTCCGAGACCTTTCGGTACTCTACAATTACGCTAGTTGAGTTAAGAAAGTTGTTATTGCGCACCATAAATAATGCTGAAATGTTCGTTAACTGTAATTTATTGAAGCAATTATATAAAAACTTCAAAATAAATGGGGCCAAGAAAATGAGCGATGTAATATTAGATATTTTATTATTATTCACAATTGAGAGCTTTTAGTTTAGTTTGAGTCGAGTTTAATGCAGTTTAGCATTCATTTTTAATTTATTTGTAACATTATTTAGAATAGAGTACTTCTCCCTTATCTTTACTAATATTACAAACGCAAAAGTAACTATGTCTGTGTCTGTCTGCCTTTCACGTCAAAACTACTGAACCAATTTAAATGAAATTGATACACAGATAGTCTCTGAAAAAGAACTTAACAAAGGCTTACTTTAAATGCGAAAAAAAGGTTGAAAGAGGAGATCAAAGATTGTATGGAAGTATCGTCATTTTTAAAGCTAGAAGCATGAAACTTATTTTTTAGCCTGTTGATGTTTGTAAAAATGTTACCCTTAAGGGCGTAAAATAAAATAGGATATGAAAGTTTGTATAGAGATTCATAATTTTTAAAGCTAGAACGATTAAACCTTTTTCTTTATTTGCTCATTTTACTTTCCACGCAGATGAAGTCGCGGGCACAGCTAGTTCTATATATAAGTATCTATCTCTACTGTTCTTTAGAATATAATATTTGAAAACTAAGATTTTATCATCTATCTGTAATTTAATTAAATTATTTAGAAAAAATGATTATTAATATTAAAATATAACTGTATTTTATTTTTTTAACTACTATCATCTTATTATATGTTTAAACAATTAAATTATTTTAGTTAGTAATGAATGAATAAACAAGGTAAACAAGAGAAATGAAAAATCAAGAAAAAGAAAGTAATCCATTATATTATGAAATGTGAAGAAATAAATACAAAATTATTTAATTCTATCTTTACCTGTTGTTAATTTTGTCTGACCTGTACTCAATATCATGTTTATTATTCATTACAAACAGTAAGGGAAATACAAATCTACCGGAGAACAATTTACTCGTTACCTAACTTCTCATTTTGGCTCTGTCCCATTTTTCTTTTTATATAAACTAAGCCACGACCAATTAACATTCCACGGCCAAGTGTGCCACGCCAAATGAAATTTGAAATAATTAATTTGACATTCCTCTCAGTGTACGTAATTATTTTGTAAAAAGTAACATTCCACGTGATCGTATGTGGAAACCGGCACGCCCCTACGGGACACGATTGGTCGCCGCAGAGGCTCTCAAGCGCCGCGGGGCGGGGGCCGCACGCTCTCGCGCACGTTTTTTTATTTTCATTACCATTTATTTTCCTCCAGTGCACGAATGTTCGTGATTAATTTAATATATCCTCGCTGAGATACTTTTCTCACGCGATCCGTAGGTTTTTTGTATGGCTCTACATTGTTAGTACCTAACTAGTTAACGCTTACTCCGTATATGGTCACTTCTCCAATGCTAATGAAGTATTTTACTGGTAGTCGACTCACTTGACTTCGTTACAGTAATTAGTTGCTAATTGCTAGTACTAATGTAACATGTTTGACTTTTTATTGAATGAATGTTGATAAAGTAATTATACAGTATCTACATGAGTACCAGATAATGATCTGCTGTTGCTTTGTGAACAAATTTGTCTTCCAATTACTTCATTCAAACAATGTTTCACTTATTAAGCTAATTGGATTAAATACATCTTAATTTAACATCACTATCTCCTTATGGGGTGGATAGAAAGTACAGAATACTACCGGACTACCGGTTTATCGTGATTAATAAATAAATGGCATAACATTTTTTTTGTATGTATTTTATCTATTTTAAAACAATTTTCATTGCAAGGAAAAGTGTAATCACATGTTGGCTAAATTAATAATTCCACTTCCACTCCAAAACTACGTAAAGGATTTTGAAGCGGGTTTTTTTTAAATAGGTAGGTAGAGTGATTCAAGAGGAAGGTTTATATGTATAATACATGTACACCCGTGTGAAGCCGGGGTGGTAGCTAGTGATATATACAATATAAACCCAGACAAATACAAATAACCATACTCCGGAGTACAAATGTTTGTATCGTCCGAGCTATTGAACCCGTAACCATTGGAAATAAAGCAGAAAGGTGTACTAAACCGCTAGACTACTGAGGCCTTTAATTAATTAGTCATTAAGTGTATGTACTATATTAAATACCTACATAATATACATTTTAAATACAGAGGGAAATAATATCATCTCATAAATATATAAATATTGGCTATTGTAAAATATGGAATTAGTCACCCAGGAAATTAATACGTCCCTTTGAACAGAGTCCACGTGTGTATTGTAATTTATTATATGTAAAGTTATTGTATATGCATGTGCAATTACAAATAAATAAAATGATATTTTCGTACATATAAATAATAATAATAAAATGTTTTCAATAACAACAACTACTTATTTAACAGAATTAAATCTGAATAAAACAGTGGGCATCCAGGTTAGCAAGCTCACACAATAGAACCCTCTTTTCTCCAACACCATGTTGCGGGTTCTCTAGGTATTTCATTATAATAAATAACGTTATTATTTATTTGGGTGTTTTGGGAGTGATGCTAGCTACAAATTACCACGGACAATGCCTCCGCGGGACATCGTTCTTATTAAGAGCAGACCACCAGATGGCGGATTGAGCGCCCCTCTTTCTATAAACAATATTAAATTAAAAAATGTTTATAATTTCATAAATTAAAAACACAATCGATTTATGTAATATTACCTGTAAATAAAAACATGTAAAATTATTGTCAATTTTAAAATTGTAATTTATCGAATGAAAATAATGCCAAGTAAGTTGCTCTTTGTAAGTGTGTCTGTCAGTCAGTCTTCCTGAAAAGCTGTCAAAAGGTTTATTTTTGTTACGTTTTTATCACTAAACAGCTGAAAAATTCAATTTGATACCAGGTTAGATTGAATCACGTATCTGAATACAGTCTATCATATATTTAGAAAATTAGTTGTGAGGTAGGAACTAAAGTTATGTACCTAAGTGTGTGTGTAGTAGAAGTCCAGAGTATCTAATAGCTAGTATTTCTAAAAAATAAATCACTGTATTCGTACAGTACCTATACAAAAATATATTAATACAAAATGCTTAATACATATTTATACATAATCAATTCATTTCAACTACTCTTTTTTTAAACTTAGAATAGTTTATACTGTTTGATATTACTCAATGCCTACCACTTCACATTTATATTTATATTTCCAGAATGTTATAAAAGCCGAGATATTTATATTTCCTTAAACCGTTTATTATGTAAGAAAATATACCTATATAAAACCAGGTTGTCATACTAAGATGAATTATCATGACGTTAATGGATTGTCATGACGACAATCAAAGTTAATATTAAAGCCAAAATAATATATATATTCATTTAGGGCACTTGTGAACGTCAAAATATTAATGCTGACATAAAAGGTCGTAAAAATAATGACCGATTGCCATAGAAGATGAAGAACGTCAATCTCAATCAGAATAGTTTTCTTATTACTTTTTAGTAGTTAATTTACTTCAAATATGAATGAAAAAAACATTCGTGATTTATCAAAATAGATATATTCAATATATTTTTTCTTGGTCTTGTTTCTAAATCGAATAACGTGAAAAATTGCGTTCACTGATGCGAGAAAATGACACGCTCCATTTTCCTTCTAAAGTCACTGCGTGAGAACTTTCCTTGAAAGTATAATCAGCGTGAAGTGCTAATTTATGTATTAAAAATTTTTATTTTTAGTTTTAAAATGTCATATTAAACTTTTATAAATAAACTTGAACGTTCTTAAAAATGTTCTTAACGAAAAATCAATAATTAGTTAGTCAAATGAGTAATAATAACCGACATTACAGCTAGACTATGCTGGACTTACTCGTTTTGTATTTAAGTCAATATATCACAAATTATCTCTCCCTAATCCATCAAAAATTACAGTCTTAAGAGTATGATATCCTATTTTTTTCTGAATTTAATAAAATAATAATAAGGAGCATATTTCAAAATATTACAAGAAAATTCATCATACCTTAACGAATTTGCTAGCGGAAATGGGAGTGTGGCGGCCATCTGGGTTAGAACTAGAACCTACTGGAAACCTAGAAACATTAAAACGGAGGGCGAAAAATCGTTCCGTAGTGCGTTGTTTCAGTAAAGGCGACTGTCCAGCAGTAGACTGTAGACGACGGTTACCACTCATCGTTATATGGGTCGTCTATTTGTTCACCATTCCAATTACAACAAATACATAATATTTACACTCTTGAGCAGGCAAGTAAAACGATTTTCTAGAGGACAACAGTAAGAAGAATAATACATTTGATTATCGATTTTAGTATCAATCAAGTTTACAGTCTTGATCATGATGTCCTAGCTCATAACCTAGACCTAGGTTATGAGCTAGGACCATCC